CCAATTGAATTAAGGGAATAAAAGTCAAATGAAAACTATAAAATATTCAGAATAGTATGAAGTGAACACATGCTGTGCTTTCCAGAGGAGCATAATAGTCCTGGATTCTAAACATGTGCCATTAAGAAATTGCAAGGATTTAGGATACAGCAGAATTGGCTCAAAATTGTTCTTCATCTGGAATTGGACTATATGGCTTTGGCTCTTTTAACTTTTTGTTCCAAATCAGGGTCCTGGTGGTTTTAAAATGGTAAAACATCCCTGAAATCCAAATCACATAAACAGAATTTTGCAGTGCTCTCATTCTGTCTGGAAAGATTATTTAAAAGACTTTAGATTGCTAATTTTATTAATTTTAAAAAGAAATGCCTATTAACCATGTGTAGAATTTCTAAAGATATTAATTGTACAGCTTCAAATTTCACTTTTCAGATCAGTTTTTGAAATGGCAAATTATCAGTATTAGACTTAGTTCGTTTCTTAACAAAAATGTACATTTCTAAAGAGACGAGTTAAAGAAACAGAAATGTAAAGATTCAAAATGAGAATTGAAACTCTAAATTGTAATAATTGTCAGAGTTATACAGTTGAAAATGTATCACCTTTTGCCTTTTTTTCTTTAGTCACAAAGTTGAGCATGTAGAATTTGATAACACCCTACTAGTGGCTCTCACCTGGAGCAGCAGTGTGTCACCTGATGGTGTTTGGGGTGGGGGTTGGGGCTGAGACACATTTTCAGTTGTCACAATAACCAGGGCAGTACATAGTACCTCCTGCCAAGACTGGTAACATCCTGCAAGCCAGGGACATTCCCACCCTGTAAAGAATTCTGTCCACAATCTCCATAGCATCGGTCCCTTCCCCAGTAGGAAACTCATTAGATCTGGCAGTTTTAGAGTTCCACCTCTTAATTGTTTTCCCCAAATGAAATTACCCAAATTCAAAAAAGAAAGAATAGAAATAAAATAAATTATAACAACTAGAGGCTCAGGTTATAGTTCAGTGGTAGAGTGCTTGCCTAATGTGTGAGGCACTGAGTCTGATCCTCAGCACCACATAAAAATAAATAAAATAAATGTATAAAAAATTACAACAACTACTCAATCAAAATTTTGTGATTTCATCTCAGATCCACCATTTGTGGAAATGGTTTCATGGTGGGGCGGGCAGAGGGGGCACTCTCCATTATACTGATCAATGATGCCACAATATATAAAAAGAAAAAGTCTTCATTATGTTAGTTATAGTTCTTTGAAAAGTTGCCAGATTAATTTAAAAGGCCCTTTTCCTAACAGCATATTTTTTAAAGCAAAATCACATTTTAATATTTTATGTAAATAACCAGTGGGAAGAGTGTGAAGGCACATAGCACAACTGTTTTTAATGTTCTGGAAATATTGAGAGCTGTTTTTCAGGTAGTGATTTATTTTAACATGCAGTGGGTTTTTTAGACTTCAACACCAACTGACATACTCAAACTTGGTCCCCATTAAAATCAAAGGAATTGGAGGTAGGAGAAGGGTTTAGGAGAGACCCAGAATGACTTCTCTTAGCCTACTATGTACATAACTTTGTTTTTCAGAGTTTTCATTAGAGAGATAAGAGTTTTATAAAAGACAGTTTTAAAACAGTCTAAAATATTGACACTATTTTTCTTTGGATCTTTGTTCCACTACACTCATTAGCTATGTAAAACTAGTAGTGTCTTACTATACCACATATATAAGAGAGCATAATTTTTCTATGATCAGGCACCTTTTGCTGCTTTTGAGTAAGACTGTTTTCCTGTTTAGATTTTTAAGCATTGCCAGAGAGGTGAATCTGCTCTATTCATCTGATTGTAGCATAGCCTGAAAACTCTAGGTGCAGTATTTCTATGATGAAAATGAGTGGTCTATCAGAAAATTTGAAATCTGGGGGCTGGTCATTTTCTCAGACCCTAGCTTCACATGCACTCTGTTGCCTGTGAGGAACTTTCTGACATGTGATTACTTACTTCAAAACTAGAGTTTCAGGCACTTACACTAATTATTTTATATCGTGTGCAGAATAGTTTATCTTTTAATATTAGATATGATACACTGCACATACTGCTTTTGCACTCTTAAAAATTTTGTACTAAATGATAGAAAATATTTATATTCTTTGAGTGTGAGCTTTGACTAGATGGCATTATCACTTTATTGTTTTTTTTTAAACAAAAACCTTCTCTTAGTTATTCTAATGCATTGTTATTCTGAGCAAGTCATATGCCAAATATTGTGTATAATGTTTGTATGGAAGATTAAATTTTACTCTCGTGTGGTAAGACTATTCAGTTACTGCCTTCATAGTTGGAATTTGATATTCCAGCAAAAATTCCACAGTGTATTCAGAAATCCAAATTGGTGTCATACATTTCATTTTGATGTGAACTTTACTTTGCTTTCCTTTGTTCTAAGACTCCATTTTGCAATAAACGTTTTGACAGTAAATCCCTTTGTTATGTGTTGCTGTGTATATAAGATCTTTGTTAAAGTGGATTCCCAACATCCTTTGAAGGAATCATTGTCACACACATGCACATGAGTGTTAGCTTTTTTCTCCTGAAGTCAGTTGGAGTGTAAATAATGAATTTCTAAAGTGATGGGGCAGTCATGAGGGATTTTTTTTTTTATCCCCAAAGAAAGAAAGGCTTAGAACTCATCCTTCAGCAGATGCACTGATATGTTAACAAGGTACAGAAAACATAAAGGAAATGGTAAGCCACTATGTGGCTGGAGATCATTAACTCTTATCCCCTGTCTTGCCAAATTCAAACCGTCTTGAAGCAGCGCCTGGCTCCAGCTTCCTCTCACTGATCTTTGTGTGCCTCATGCAAGGACTCCTGCTGGAGTGAGTCAGACCCAGTCCAGTGTCTTTCCCTGGCACTGTGTGGGCTGAGCCCTCCTCAGAGAACTCCACTCTCCTTTGACATTCAAACCAAAGATGTTGGTTATTTCACTTGCAACCTTTATTCTATTCAAAAAATACTTATTTCTCAATTTAATTTAGCACATTTGGAAATTGTACAAAAATCAAAACATCACACATGCCCCCGTTTCCTGTAAAAGCTGGCCTCAATGCAGGGAAATATTTCCACAACGCAGCCTGGTGTTTCTTGAACTAATGAGAAAAGTTCCTTATTTCACATTTGTGTCCATGATGGGAGAAGGAACGACATATTTCTGCAGCTGGATACAGCTGCACTGTGAAGAAATAAAACTTGTCATGTATTTTCTTTGATCAAGTTCAGCTTTAGATTCAATCCCTTGAGTCTTTCTCTTCTCCACATTGTTACAGCAGGTGAGTGTGTTGGATGATTCCTACATAACTCCAGTGTTTCAGAGGAGGGAAGGGACACTCCTTGAGGTAATCGAAGCACGTGGAGGGTAGCTGAGTATACATAGAATAGTCTGGATTGAAGTGTAAGCTTTGTGTCTTTGCAACTTGTCTATATTACTCAAACCTACATATTTATATTGATTTTAACCTGTAGAATTAAAAAAAATCCTGTTCTGCATGCTGCTGCCACCCCCTCCCATCTTATGCACTTCCCCTTTTTCCTCCAAATGTGAGCTCCCAGAATCTTCACTTAGGCAAACATGCCACACCCATCCTCCCTCTTTCCCTCTTCCCGGCCCCCGCAGGGTTTTGCCTTGTTACTTCTCATCTGGAATCACTTCTCTTCGCCCTGCAGCACCCAGCTCAAGCCCCTGTGCCTTCCATTCCCCCATGATACATATGGAACCCTTTGCTAATACACTGGCCTTTGTACACCACAGACACTAAACTCCATACCAGAGAATTCAGCATTTCAGTACATGCAGCCTTCAATTTTATTCATTCTACAAAATGGTTCAGCAAAAATGTACCAGGTATGGTATGGTATTCTAGGTACTGAATAAACAATGGTGAAGGTGGCCTTGGACTGTCCCACATATCATCCACACCTGTTTCACCTTTAGTTCTATTATAAGCTCTTGAAGGAGCTGTGCCTCTCCTAGCAGTCTTGAGTATGTGAATAAATACCTGCAGGTTAGAAAGATTAAATAATCCACCCTCTGGTCATTAACATTAATTGTAAAAGCAACCAAATTCAGCTGCTGCTTTTCAACTCATCCACAAAAAAATTATGATTTGTAACAGGTTGAGTGACACTTTGACATGTTATCTCGTGAAGAAGCCAAGCATTATGGCTTGAGCTCTAATCCAACCCATAGGACACACAGATTTTTTTTTTTTTAATTAGGTAAGCATTTATTATTTAGACTGTGATCATCAGGCCTACACTGAACAGGAAGCTCTTTGGGCTGAAAATGGTGTGGGCTGAAAGTCTCCATTCGTACTTGTGCACCTGGAAGCGAGGTGTTTTAGTCTATGCTAGTGCAACTCTGCACCTGGGTTTCTTAGAACAGTTCTAGTTTTGCATGTCTTACTTCCTCCCTGGATCCTGATATTTGGTATTAAAGAATATAATGCAAGTGATACAGTTAAACACTTAAACCCCTCCCTCCGCCTGTGAGAATAGGCATACTAAGTCATCTGGTTACCAAGTGCTTGCTTTGGAATTTTCATTGATAAATTGATCCTCATGTTGACTGAGAATTCTGAGGAAGTCTTGGTATCTGGTAAATGTCAGAGATTCCTTAATGCTGAAGCTTTGTTACAGGATATAAAACCATTCCTAGTGTGCTAAGGACCAAGAGAAGTACATACCAAGTTGTAGAAAATCCCCCCCTAAACAGCTCACAAAATGCAACAGATTGTTACTAGAGATTGATACACATTATTGGCTTCTGGGGTCTAAATCCCTAGAACAGAGAACTTTCTTGTAAGGTCAGGGAAATTGCTTTCCATTCACCCTGACCTGCAGGAGGAACCACGCCAGAGCAGCCACTGAAACCAAGTAAGATGAGAGGCTAAACCAAAAAGACGAGGATATTATTTTTTTTTTCATGTCATTCATATTTCCCACGCAGCTGCTGCCTTCCTTTGAGATTGGTGCATGGACTGAAGACGACGTGGTAAGCTGCTTCTGTTAATGCCTCAGTGCACCTGGACAGGTATCTCACACATTTATCCACAAGTTTAAAAATGCAACTAGAGGGAATTGGGCCATAGGAAAATCTAACTATCAGAAGCTGACAAATTTCATTTTCCCCTGTTTTTGATACAATAATAATGGAAAATGAGGCCTCCCTAGACAAGCAACTATCTCCTCAAATCTTCTAAATCTTCACCTTCCCATTGGTCATGAAACTACTCCAGAATATAATAATAAGTACCAATAATAAAATTAAAGCAGTGACCCAGGAAACCAAATGAACATTCTTGGAAAAACTTTGACTGTAAACCTTCCTAAGATGCCAGATATGGACTTGAGCCATGGTGGAGAAGGATCTAGTAAAGGCAGTGCTGGGCTGGGATTTCCCCTGCACTGGGTTTCCTTCCCGCCTTAGGCCTGCTCATAAGTGACAGCTTCATATTTGCCATCCTTGCTCTGGCCTTCCCCAGGAGGAATGGACACAGTGCTCTCAGACATCCTCTGCAGCCATAGCCAGAGGAGCTCCAGGATGAGAGGATGCTGAGAGGATGCGGGCAGAATATTTAAGTCCAAAGGAAGTCTTCCGCACCACGCTCCAGGTAGAAGCCCTGAGGAACAATCCTACTTATCTCCATATCTGTTTCCTTAGTGACAAAACAGGTAGGAGAATTCCTGATCGGAGCCCTCAGGGACTGTCCAGGTCTGTTTTACAAGCTAGAGGGCATCGTTAAATGAAGAAAAATATAAAGATGGAGCATAGTCTTCACAGGCTGGACCCCATCTCAGGGAATAGACCCAGTGCCTCCAGGAACACTCTCGCTGCTAGATCCTCTTCAGAAGCTCCACTCACCTAGCTCAACCCGATTTGTGGGCCAGGGCATTTCCCTTTCTGCCCTTTGTATTCCTCTGAAGTAAAACTTTCAGCATTAGGTTGTCTCTGGCTCCTGCAGGGGAGGAAACTTGGCACCAGTTCTCAGGTTCTGAGCCCCAGTAACACTAACTCTCCTGCCAACCCTGCTTACCACGGAAAGAGGACTTAGGGTCTCCTTTATTCCCAAGCCTGCACATAATCTCTTTATCCCTAGCTGCAAACTTGGCCCCTCTGCTTTGAAAAGAAATTGTTAAAGCACTTGGATTACAACAGTTATTTTTAGTCTTTGCTCTGAGTTTGAGTGGTTTCTAGGCCATTTAAATAAAATTTCAGGGTCAAGGGCTCCCCAGAAAGTCAGAGGGACTGAACCTGGCCTTCTATGTGCCTTCACACATAGAAGGTAATGTCAGAGGCCAGTGTGATCAGGTGCCAAGTGAGATAAAAGGATAAGGGTTCACTGGTCTAGCCTCCTCACTCCACACAGGAAGTTCCATGCTTTGACTCGTCCAGGGCCACGTGGCTATGTCATGACCAGACAAGCCTAGGACAGAGGATTCATTCTGTCCATCTCTCTGTGCACTGCTGTGTGAGCCCTGTTACTCATACAACTCCTGAATATAGTGCCCCTGGGCAGTCCAGAGACCATGGGCACATCTGTGGAAAAATCACTTTAACCACCCTCTTGAAAACATTTTAACATTTCTCCCAAGGAAATGCCCCACAAAGAGAGGGATCTCTCCAATTTCAAAGCTTGAGATTTTAAAATCAGAGAAACTCTCCCATCTTACCTTTGTGGCTGAGCCAGGAATTAGAGATATTTTCACCTGTTGAAAATGCTGTGTGTGAATTTTCCAAACCATGTATGTCCTCTCTTCACAGTATTTTTGGGTTCAGCAGCTCGTCAGAAAAGGCAAGTGGAATAAGTTACCTTTTTATTCATGGAGTTAACTTTGTCGGGGACATGACTTATTCTAACCTCTTCTTCCGTCTCCTCTCTTCCCCCAGGTGACTCTTCAGTGGAGATGAGTGGCTATGCAAGTTTGTTTAAGGAAAACAACATCACAGGCAAGCGACTGCTGCTGCTGGAGGAAGAAGACTTCAAAGACATGGGCATCGTCTCCAAAGGACACATCATTCATTTTAAGGTACCTTGCAAGGAAAAACATCCCATCCACAATTATTTACTGAGCACCTGCTATGCATGCAACAGGTGGTGTTAGCAGCTGGGGGTAGAAACAGTCAGTGCTGAAGTTACAGCTGAAATGCTTCTTGTTGTATCTGTCCATATTCAGCTGCTCCCCCTCTCCCCTCCCCCCTCATAATCCCACGACAGACAAGTTAACCCATCACACATCAGGTGTGACCTGAATGTACCCTAATATCACTCCTGTGCCCTCAGGAAGTTCCTAGTCTAGTGGGGAAGATGAATAGTTTTCGTGCAATCATAATGAAATGACTTCTGAGCAATGCCACACAGGCGAGGTGGGTTGGGATGAGGGAGGCTTTTGTGAAGAAGTGATGAAGGAGTTGACAGCTGAAGACAAGTAGGTGTTCCCCAGGTGAAAGATAGGGCAGGATGTCTGGAGAGGCACTGCCTGTGGCAAGGCCTGGGTGTGGGAGAAAGCTCAGTGTGTTTGAGGACCTGTGAGCCGAGCAGTATGGCACCACACCCGCACTGGCAGGAGGCCACTTAATCCATTTCATGCTGGGGAAGCCAAATATCCATTAGGAGTCCCTCTGGGACTGGAACTTGTGCATGGCCTGAGGGAACCTAAGCCAGAGAGGTAACCTGAAGTCATGGGAATGTGTGGTTGTTTTTGTAATCTTCATAATTGTCACCTGGAATAAACATCAACACATGTATATTCTAATGCCCCACTGAACTCAGGAATTCCTAATGTTTCCCCTAAAACTTCAGTCCTGAATAATTTCAAACTAAACCTCTACTTTCATTTTTGTTTTTGTTGCTTTTTTGCCATTTAGGAATCAGGTTGGATTTTGTGTGTTTGGTTTTGTGTTTTTTAGTTCCTCAAATCTAATAGGAATTGCAGATACCTGTGAGCAATGTTATTGATCAGAGAATAATTTCCAGAGAGATCTTAACCAGGATAAAATCAAGTTTGCTTCCCAGAGCCTTCACCGGCAATGTGGGTAGATGGAGGGGTATTCACGGGTTAGAAAGGGCAGAAATCAAATAAAGGAGGAAAAGTAGAAAAAAAGCAACTTTCTATCCAAATCCACACCTTCACAATCTGTCAACATGCCAGCTAACTTCCCTTTACCCCGGAGCCACTCATATTGGCTTTTCTAGAGAAATCACCACAAAGTCCAAAGAAAACCCACTCACTTCATCTCACGGACCCAGATCCATGTAAGAAACATCTTACAGTCTCTTGGCACCCTTCAGACAATGGCTTGGCACAAAACCACCAGAGACCATCTATAAGGCAGAAAGCAAGAACTTTCTGACATTTCCCTCCCACAAAATGGGCAAGAAAGCTCATGCATCAACATACATCTCAAAGGCTAGCAAAGAACTTAATCTTGGCCTCTGGGTATGCCAAGTTCATCCTGAAAAGCTATGCTGGCTTAGATGTTTACAGTACGAAAAATTAATTTCAATAATATACAGAGAAGTTCCAAAGTTTCAAAAGAGAAATTTTATAAACCCTGTCCTATGTAGCAAATGCCATATAAGATGTTCCTACCTCCCCTTCCCTTCTGCTGTCTTTTAAAAAGGACCAGTATTCCTTAAGTACTAGTTAGGGGGAAAGGAATGGTAAGCCATGATACCTCAACAAACCGCAAGTGATTTAAATATTCCCAGACTTGGCTGAGAACAACCAAAGTGGCCCATTCATGCTGGTTGTTAGTATCAAGACAAGTAATGTTCAAATTTACTGTTTATTGCTCAACAAATTCAGTGAATGCCTACTAATTGCAAGACTTGGCCTGTGAAGAGTCAGAGAATCATCCTGCCCTTAAGGAATTTATATGCCTGAAGAGAGATAAAACATGCACAAGCAACTTCTTATGAGCAGTTGGAAGAAGAGAGGCAATTCATTACTGGGGAGGAGCAGAAAAGGGGAGGAAAGGGGAAACGTCACAGAGTGGGGGCCTTGAGCTGGATCTTGGAGGAAGAACAGAATTTGGAATATAGACAGAAGTGGAAAAGGAAGAGAGGAAGCAGATAAGAGAGGCAGGGAAGAGACGGAGAGGAGCAGAGCAGATTGGTTGTGTTAGAAGGGGCAGCGGGCAGCTCTTTCTGGTGGGAGCCTGGGCGGGGACTAGAACTCATCATGGCCAAAGTCTAAGGCAGGTCTGGCCAGGTTCTGGACTGCTTCCAACTTTAGGCCGGAGGTCTGGAATTTGACAGAGCTGGAGAGAATGGATGTGTTTAAACTTCACTTCTGGATGTCTTAAAGTGGATTAGAAAAGAGAGGCTGGATTTTGAAAAACACTGAGGAGGTTATAATCTAGAGAGGAACAGTCAGATAGCAGGCTATGAACAGGAGCAGGGAGTGGGGCACCGGGAAGAGAGCTGTTCACAGGCTCTTGGAGGAGCCCAGCGAAATCCAGGTCCTGCTGCAGGTGGATGAGCCTTGAAACCTGATGCTCAGTGAAGGAAGCCAGGACGAAAGGTCACATTTGTATTCCATTATGTGAAGTATCTGGGCTGTGTGTATCCATACAGACAGAAAACAGATGAATGGCTGCCAGGGGCTGGAAGTGATGGGGGAATGGGCAGTGGCTGCTGAGTGGGTGCAGAGTCCCCTTGGGATGATGGAAATGTGTTGGAATGTGTTTTAGAGAGAGTGGTTGCACAACACCATGAAGGTACAAATGCCACTCGGGGGCACATTTTTAAATGGCTAAGTTTATGGTACATGAATTTTCCACCATTAAAAATTACTAATAGGGGCTGGGGTTGTGGCTCAGTGGCAGAGCGCTTGCCTTTCACATATGAGGCAGTGGGTTCGATCCTCAGCACCACGTAAAAATAAACAAACAAGGGCCAGGGTTGTGGCTCAGTGGTACAGCGCTTGCCTAGCATGCATGAGGCACTGGGTTTGACCCCCAGCACCACATAAAAATAAAATAAAGGTATAAAAAAAAGAATTTCATTAATAAATGAATAAACAAAATAAAGACATTGTGTCCATGTATAACTAAAATATATATATATGTGTGTGTGTATAACTAAAATACACACACATATATATATATATATATATATATATATATATTTTTTTTTTTTGTTTTTAGTAAAAAAAAGAAAGAAGGAAATGACAGCTACACTTAACACCCCTGATCTAGACTAGACCCCTTCCATCTGGGCAGCTGTCTGTCTGATTGACCAGGGGCCTGTATAAAGGCCACAGGTAGCAAGGAGGGTCAAATGAGCCTGGGCAGGAGAGAGAAGAAGGGGTGTGTGTCTGGGAAGTGGGGAATGGGGGAGAATGGTGTTACAGAGGCCACTGTTGAAATAGCTGCGAGATACAAACAGTGACCAAAAGGGTCTAATCATGCTGCAGAGATGCCACCAAACATGCAGGGAGAAAATGCCCTCATGGGAAGCAGCACATGGGGTGGGGTAAGAGCAGTGTCCTCCCCAGGACCCAGAGGGTCTCCCTGGGTGGTCAGCTCTGTCTCAGGACCTAGGTGAGTCTGCCCATGCATATAAAAACAGTACACAGGGGTGATTCTCCACAGTCAGGAATGCAAGGCCACCTCACCACCACAGCTGGGCTGCATTAGAATGGCTCCCGGTGGGGCCTTGGCCAACAGATGGCGCTCCATTAAACCCATCTGGAACGTGGGTATTTCTGACACACTTCTGTGAGAGGGAAAAATGAAGGGAAAAGGTCGTGGAAACTTGTTCCAAGGGAGCTACCATACTCTTAAGGCAGTTAGAATGAATAATGCTTCAAGCTGGGCCTTTGGGGACGCGGCCCTGTGAGCATCTCCAGGCTAGATGAGCCCTCCTGATACTTGTCAGGAACATCTATTGTATACACGTAGATGCACACGCGCACATGCATACACACAAGTATACACGGCCTGGTGGTGAGATCGTGACCTTCATTTTTTGCTCTTTCACTAAGGAAGGCACAATCCTCACTGTATACCTTCTTGAAGGGTCTCTCTGCCCAAGGGTAGATGATGAAACTGGAAACTGGAGCAGCACATCCTCTCTCCTTTTCTACAATTGGCCCTCCCTCTAAGCCTGTCTGGGGCTCCCTTCTCCCCTGAGCGTGCAAGTCTTGATATGGAAGAGCCAGGTGTAAAGAAGAAGATTGAACATCCAGTAAATGTTCATTACATTGTCAAGTGTCAGCAATTTCATTTTGCTTTAGGACAAAAAAATGCATCCAGTTTTTCTCAGATTGGTACTTCTTTTTCCCCTACATGATCAGTTTACAGAAAAAGTATATATTTTCTAATGAGTGTCAAAAACTCATACTCTAAACTAACCTACTATCTTTTAAGATTTCTTTGTGTTTCACCAGGGGTGTGTTGGACCCCTGCACGGAGGAAAGTCCTTGCAACCAAACCCTGTAGTGAGGCTGCAGCCTTTCTGAATGCCTCTGGTGTTCTATTCCTGCACTTTTTGGTTTTCCCTACAGTTGACACAGAATGATAACTGCACTTTATACACTAGGACATTAATTTGTCACACAATACCAGTGCTTGAAGAATGGTTTTTATTTAATGTGTAGTCTAAAGTTTGACATCTTTAAAGTCTTTCTGTTCCTTTAAATAATTATAACTGCCTACCCTACGTTGGACAATCAGATATGTGCTCCATAAATGATAGATATTTACATCCCCAAGATATTTTATGAACTATAAAATAAAGGATGCTTTTATATGGGACCAATAATTTAATCCTTTCTTGGTGTATTCAGCCATTAATGAAATCATTATTTTTTTTTTTATAGTCGGCCATTGAGAAACTAACACATGATTATCTGAACTTTTTTCACTTCCCACCACTAATTAAGGTAAGTTTTTTTTTCTTACTGAAAGTGTGCAACTTTTATTGACACATGCACCTGCCACATCCACACCTAAATTTGCCAATGTCGGAAACTGATGTTTGAAGTTAAATTTAATCATATGTGTCCAACAAAAGGCCCTTTGAAGACTAGGATGTGTGCATATATGGTTTATTCTATGCCAGTTAAAATATTAACAAAACATTCATGATAAGAACAACACATCTCATCTGAGTGGCTAGAAGATGGAAGTGCCAGTATTATAGGTGACATTGGCCTCCCACCTGCTCTGGAGACCTTCTTGCGACTGGTCAATCACTAAAGGAATTCACACACTAGAACTCTGGGTTGTCACCACATTAAGGGAGGGGTTATTGTTTGAGTGACATATTCATACAGCAGTCCCCCTAATCCACAAGGAATACATTCCAATATCCCTTGTGGATGCCTGAACCTGAAGTTAGTATCAAACTCTATATCTACTATTTTCCCCTATACATACTTACCTATTATAAAATGAATTAGGCATCGTTGGAAATTAACAGCAATAACCAAGAATAAAATAGAACAATTATAACAATATGCGCGAATAAAAGATATTTAAACTTATGAATTTTTAATTTCTGGAATTTTCTATCTAATACTTTTGGACCACAGTTGTCTGCAAGAAAACAAAACCTAGGATTAGGAGTATCCTTATTCTCTACTAGTTAAAATATTAACAAAACATTAAGTACTATTGTACTTAACATATTATTCTGAACATAATCTAAGCATATGGCATACTTTGTTATAAAGTCAGCAAAAACTTTGAATTAATACACAGACCTCTACTCATTCAGCAACTACCATGGTTCTCCATATGCAAGTTCTTGGGTCTTCCATCCATATATACTCTAGGAACTGCAGAATTCCTCTTTGGGAATAACTTGTGCACATCTTGGGTGTCTTGAAACTCTCAAGTTGAAATCTCACAATGCACCTCCACAAAGTGCATTTTAGGATGAAATTGCAAGATATATTGTGAAAAAGATGGTGACATTCAATCTGAAGTGTGTAGATAAGTCACTTGGTAAAGTTCCCAAAAGCCTGTCATTTCTCTTGCTTTGAGCGATTGTAACTTGTAACTTGTAGCTTAATCCAAAATGACCAAAGTAGATTTTTTTCCAGTATATTAGAATGAAAAAAAAAAAAACTAGCAATAAGAAATCATCTGCTTTATATAAGAAGTCAAAGTAAAAAAGCTACACAGAATAAATGGGACTTGGTTTTCTGTTTTAGGATTCAGGAGGTGAACCTGAAGAAAATGAGGAAAAAATAGTGAACCTTGAACTTGTTTTTGGTTTTCACTTGAAACCAGGAACTGGCCCACAGGTAAATCATATTTCAGATCTTTTGGGTGAATTTCAATCTAATTTACTCTTTTGCTGTCCTGTAACTCCCATCCGCCAGCCACCTGGTAACTTGATTCTGAGTAACTTATAGACTTTATAAAATAGAATTGAACTGACAGGCTGCTGGCAGCCTCTGTAATCCAATCCAGGAGGCTTATTTTCTCAGTCAGTGAAGAATCCTACAAGAGGCCACCAAACTCTCAAGGTGACTCTCAGCAAAGTATGGAAGGGAAGGGAAGGTGGTGGATACCAAAGTGATATTCATTCTGCTCAGTATCACGGCTTCCTGATCTCTGAGTCTTGAGGGAAATCAGCTCTATAATACAGAGAGTAAAACAACACTGAGGATGTAATTCTAGATAATAGAGAGACCCAAACTATCAGCTCCAAAAAGGGTGGTGGGACCTTAGGTTAACACTCATTCAATCAGGTTTTTCACTTTATGTCATTTTTTAGAATCTGGAAAAAAACTGATTTGTCTAGGTAGCATGTGAATTAGAATTTCAATAGTTTTGTGTTATTTCAGATGACCAGAAAAGCGAATAATCAAGATAACTTCTATTACTTGAACTCTTATCATGTACCAAGCATACAGAACTGAAGCGTAAATGCTACTTCCCCCCACTTTGCAAATGTGGAAACTTGCACAGGGAGTACGTACGTGGACAACATTTGCAGAATGAGGACTCAAACTCTGGCCTTTGTCACCAGAACCCAAGCTCTTAGCTACTGCATGGCTTGTCCTTTTCTCTTTAGGAGCCAAGGGAAGTCTCAATGCGAGTCTTCATACCTGTAACCATTTGCCATGGGAGGGCTGGCCCTGGCCCAGTGGCCCAGAGGGTAGTCATCAGTAAAGCCACACCAGTCTAGGAACTGGTTCTTGGGAGAGACTGGAAGTTGTTGTAAGGGTTGAGTTTCACCTGGGCCTTCAAAAGCTGTCCTTTCTAGACACCTGACAGGGAGTGTCCTGCCTGCACCACTACAGGGATACTGATGCTTCTGGCCATACTCTTGGTGGAAGGAGAGCCACTCTGAATCCAAGTTTCTTGTATATGAATAATTTTCTCTTCCCTCTGTGAACAGGTCACTGTCTATTCATTCTTATAGTTAGAAGCAGACATATAAAGGGGACCAGAGAGCAAAAGTCCCTCTTTCTCCAACAACAGTAAACAGCCCTTCTATCCTGAAATTATGTAGCTGCACCCCCAAGTCCATCTGATGGTAGACAGAGTGCAGATTTCAATTTGCGTCTGTTGGTATCCTCAAGTACATAACACTTAAAATTTGTGAATTCTCTTTGTTTAAGGCTTTTTATGGCTTGTATACAGTCAAAAAGGAGAAAAATTTTCTTGAAAGAGATGTGTCAATAGAGATCTCAAATAAGAAAGTATTTTCAGTTAATGAAGAAATGACTTACTAACATGGAAAACTAAAAAATACATTTTTAGTAAAAATCAGAAGCTATAGGTGGTATTTGAGACCAATACAATGGTCTATGTTTGATCATTATCATATAGGCTTCTTGAGTCATGGTTGATCCACAAGCCTAAAGTTACACAACTTTCCATGTTCTGTGGTTCCTGGGTCACCCATCCAGAGTAATAATTTCATTCATTCATGCAGCAGACATTTACTAAGGACCAACTATGTGCCTGACTCAGAATGCTACATGTTCAGAATACAAAGTCAAGAAGCATAGTCCCCGCTTGCAAGAAGTGCACAGCTTGCTGGGAGAAGCAGGCAAGATCAATGAATGGTTATAGTGCAAAAGGATGAGGCTTTCCAGTGCCACTCGATGAGCATGAAGAGGATGAACATCTAGTACAGATGAGAGAGGGGTCGGGGGGGTCTTAAAGTCCTCCTTATAGAAGTGGTACTTAAACTAGCTGGGCACTGTGGGGCACGCCTGTAACCCTAGGGCTTGGGAATCTGAGGCAGAGGGATCAGGAGTTCAAAGTCAGCCTCAGCAACTTAGTGAGGCCCTAAGCAACTGAGCAAGACCCTGTCTCTACAAAAAATACAAAAAGTGCTGGGGATGTGGTTCAGAGGTTGAGTGCCCCTGGGTTCAATCCCTGGCACCAAAAAAAAAAAAAAAAAAAGTAGATGCTTCAACTAAAATTTGAAAACCATTAAGATTTGCTAAGTAGGGAGTGGGTGTTGAAGGCAAAGGAACAGTGTGTGCAGGCATTCAGGCAATGAAGCCAAGGAAACGTGGGGAACTCTTCTTGGGCTGCCTTCCATGGGACCTCTCAACTCACCTCCCTCTGAGGAGACTTGGCAGGGAGCAGGGGAATAGTGTAATAGGAATTAAGCCTGGAGAGGGGGACTGGTGGAAAAGAACTATCTTCTGGTGCTAAGCTAAAGGAGTTTGAAGTGTTTAAACAGAGTAGACAGGATCCGATTTTTATCTTTTAAAGATCTCTCAGAAACACAGAGGAGGATGAACTGGGAAGGACCAGGCCAGAGTGAGAAAGATCCATGAGTAGGCAATGCAGAAAAGCAACTGGTATGTGATAAGCAACGAGGCTATGGCAGTGTCATGGAAGTGCTGTATATCCCAGGGTGCACTTAGGTGGAGATGGTGTGAGAGGGAGGAGCCAGGATGATACCAAAGGTGTCTATTATGGGCAACTGGATAGATGGTGTTATAACACAACAGATCAAAAGTAAACTAGCTGAGGGCTTGGGATTTAACTCAATTGTTAGAGTGCTTGCCTCACATGCACAAAGCCATGGGTTCAATCCCCAGTACCACAAACACACACTCACACACACACACACACACACACAAAAGTAAACTAGCTGAGCTGGGGGTGTGGGTCAGTGATAACCTAGTGAGTACAAAAACCTGGGTTCAGTCCCTAGCACCGCAAAAAAAAAAAAAAAGAAAAAGGAAAAGAAAATTGCAATGCCAAGATGATAAATGTATAAAGAAGTCATTGGCCATTGGCATGGGTGAGATCAATCCGGAAAAACTTTTTTATTGAATCGAAGCTTGAAGAGGTTGATGGGAAACTGCAAAATAATTGCCTGAATATAATGTTTAAAGCTTATGCTTGGAGAACACTTTTTTATAAAGATCTGAAGTATTTTATAAATGTGTCCCTTTTGTCCCCTTAACATTTATGTGAGGTGCCCAAGGCACAGTATTGTCATCGCTTATTAGGAAAGAAAAAACAAGAGAAAGTGTGTGGCCAGCCTGGGGTGAGGTGAGGACAGAGGGGAGACCAGAAAGTATGACTTTGTTTTTGTCTTTGTATTAAATACGTGCTAGCTCTCATACCTGACCCAAGATATTTAAGCCATCTACAAACTGAAATGAAACAATCCCAGAATAGATCAACCACCCAATTATGCCAACCTGTGCCTTCACATTATAAAATACTATCTTATAAATGTGCTTGAATTGAAATTCTAACTCCCTATATGGAAATCCTGTTTCTTTGACCTATAAAGTTAGGATCCACCACCAAAAAAAAAAAAAAAAAAAAGAAAGAAAGAAAAAGAAAAAAGACAAAGAAGAAGATGAAGAAGAAAAAGTAAAAGACTTCCTCAAAACCTCAATTAACTGAGTAATGTACCCATCTCCCCAGAACAGATAGAGCCTCACATCCACCCCACTCTGTTACGACTAGGATGAGCACTGAGAGTAGGCTGGAGCTTTGGATGTTCTTCCCAAACCTGAGTTTGCAGATCAGAGACATTTGCTTGATATCACCTTTTCTTTCACAAGTAAAATGAGAGGTGTGTTCTAATAGGAACCTTTGGGAATAATGCCTGACAGTGACCTTATCATCAAACAGTGACTACATTTTCCCTTTGCCTTTGAGAAGGACTGGTAGCTAATACCCCTTAAAATTGGTTTGCTGTTTTAGCAACTTTAAGCCTATTAAGAGCAAACAGTGAAAGTATGATTATTATACACACAAACAAATAGATGCAGGGGAGAAATGCTTTCATTGTAAGATCTGTCAACCTTTTCTTCTAAAAATTCAAACTAGATTATTTTTCTTAACTTCATTTGACAACCAAATGGATCATGGCACAAAACAAGGCTGATTCACAGAATCTTGAAAAGCCTTCTGCGTTTGAGTGCCCTGTGCCCTCTCAAATATCAAGGGTCAGTGCAGTGACACCTCGTCCATGACCTTAGTCTTTACAGCTGTATCCCCTAGGGAACCAGGACCCAACCAGGCTCCAACAGCATGCTACAAGCATTCTCTCACAATCAAATGCCCTTTTTCACTTCTTTTTTTTTCTGAAACAACCTGACGGGGGGCAAAAATACATGATTGAACAAAAACTTCACTAGCAACTTAAATTAATAAGTGAGGGGCTTAGGGAGTAGCTCAGTGGTAGCACACTTGCCTAGGATGGGTGAGATTCTGGGTTCCATCCCCAGCACTGCCAAAAAAAATTAATAAATGAGAATGAGTTTTACTCAATTGACCTGTTTCTAGAGAGTAAAGTTATTTATTCATTTAAATAATATTGTATGTTGAGGCAGCCTAGAAGTTATGCAATCAGTCTGGCAGAAATAGGGTCATATTCAGCCTGAATGTCTCCCGTGTGAGGGGCAGGAAATGCCTGTGATAATTATTATTACCTGAACTTCTGGTTGACACTGCAGTGAGCATTTTGCAAACATTCTTTCATCATTAGAGCTCAACATGATGGGGAGCATCATTCCTGTATTAGCCTCCTCATGAGGAAAAACAGAGACGTGAAATTCCTCACCCAGTGTCCCCACCTGGTAAGGGAAAGATCCAGTTCCCAGGCTTAACCACTGTGTAATTATCACCTCTTTCTGGAAAGTACCATCATCCCCCAAAGTAGGTACATTGGTAATCAATATTTTTTTTTGTCAGTTAATAATACTACATTACCACAATTTTTGTTTTGTGTGGAAAGCGCCTTGTGTTTTGTAATCTAAAGCCTTTGACTTGGCACAAAAGGAAAGCAGCTTTCTGAATTTCAGGC